AGAATGATTTCTGGACATACAATATAATAACAATAATAATAGCAGCAGGTTGCTCCATTTCATATCTTGTGGGGTTACATAAATCTCAGCAATCCCGTATTAAGCCCTTTTAATACTGTGGGGCGAGGTTTCATTTATTAAGGTCGTCAAATCAAATTGGGCACCGGAGATACTACATTCATCTATTTTTAAAATCATTTTCTGATAATTACATGACATGTTATTAGTCTTGATCATGGACCATCGGATGAAGTAGTCTACAAGGTGAAATTTAGGTCCAGAGCCCTATAAGATATTAAAAGGGTTAATCACACTGACTCAATGACCTATTAAGTGGTAATGAGTGTCTAATACACACACAAAATTTATTATATTGTGTAATTTTTGTATTGCGACTGCTAGTGTTTGATCACATGCCTTTATTATAATCTATCACTCAGAAACTATATTCTTGATTTCTTTTAATGCTTAATTATGATATTTTCAAAAAAAAAAAATACATAATGTCTTATTATTATATTGGTATTTTTGTATTTAATTTGTCATATATATAGGGTTCTAAAGTCACATTAGGTATGCAAAATTGTGTGCATGTGGACTTATTTACACCTCAAATTAACTTTTTTGGGTTACAAACGAAACTCGCAATCATTACCCCGTGTACATAAGGTAAACCAGCTTAGGTGCCTCGTAACCTTAGTTGACAATCTTTTTTTTTTTTTTTGTCTTGTGTCCCTATTTGACAAATTATCACAATAAGGTAAATTAGCTTAGGTGGTCTATAGTTGACCGACTCAAATCAATACTAACATGTCTCTCATACTGAGAGTCAAAATTTAAATTTTATGGTTACTAAACTAACAATTTGACCAACTTAATTGAGATTGTCCCACGTACTTCAAATTATTGTCACTTATAGAGTTAGTTATTTTTTTTTTAAAAAAATATAGTCAAAAGTACAGTTGTTATTGAAACAGTTGGAGTGTTGGAGTATTGTATGGAAATGTGTCAAAATCACATCCCTAAAGCTGGTTTGGTTAACTTTGCTTTTCACCGCTTGGTTAGTGGTTGTAGTCTAGTCTCTTTTGCAGTTGGGCACAATGATTTTCTTGAGAACCATTAGATTCAAGAAAAGGACACAGAACCCAGACTCCCAGATAGTAAATTATTATATTCCCAATAATCAGATCACATATCATTTAATTAATTGATTAAAACCAACCTAAAAGAATTTTATAAACAATTAATGCATTTGAGCAGTTGCACATGGAAGGAATCATAGATCTGCTAAGTGCAAAAGGCATCCCTTTTCGATCAATTCATAGGATTTAATTTCTTTTAGTGTAGAAATAGAATAATCAAACACTTTTTTTTTTTTTTTTTTTTTTTTGAAAAAGAGAACTTAATTCATTCGATCATCAGCAAGAATAGAAACAAGGTATAGAGGTGGTGATTCTAACCACTCCCCAGGACCTGACACAGAAACAGCACCCCGTGCTATAGCATGAGCTGCACGATTCGCAGATCGCCTAACATAACTAAAGTTAACCCCGTTTATCATTGAGACAACTTGTTTTACATCATTCACTAAAAAACCAAAAGCTGAATAAAAAGAATCCGAACACAAAGCATAATAACATAACTGTGAGTCTGTCTCAACATCTACCTCTCCCATGCCAGTGCTCTAATACAATTTTGTTACTAATTACCTAAAGTAGGTATAACTTTAAGGTGGGAAGCCAAAGGGTGAAGCAGTCAGCAATGATTGCTGCTTGCTTAAATTCAGCCAAGCTTTTACTCTTATTTGTTTGCAACTAAATTTTGCTCTCTTTGGACCCGCCCTCACCTTACCAATTTTGATGCTTCATTTCATCCTCAATTTAATATTTTCCCTCTTAATTACTCTTAGTTGACAAATGTATATTAAATGTTAGGATAAAGTTACACTGACCAAAATTCTTTATCAAAAATTTTTACGGTAATAAAACTTTTTTTATTCATTGATTACCATAAATTAGTCAATCATACATTGAGTTAAAAAATAAATATAATGATATTGTCTAGATGTGAAAGATTTTGATTAATAATAATAATAAATTGTCCGTGTAACATGGTCTTAAATGTTATTCATTCCAACCGTTATATGCCTAATTTATACAACTAAATGAGTATTTGATTGAAGTATTAGATTCATAATCATAATCAAAAGTCGGTAATTAGAATCAATTAAATGAATAGAAAGAACATAAACACATTTTTTTGGATGGGTTATGCCTTTGAAGAGATTTATGGTGTGTTTGGTTCCCACATGGATCAAAATCAGAATGGGTATCAAATATTTGGTGATGGTAATGAGTTTTAGTAAGTATTTTTGCATGTTTGGTAGTAGGGTGAATGATTATCAATAATGCTCTTTGGTTATGTATGATTCAATAATGGGAATACAAATTTTAAAAATACAAAAACACAAAATTAAGTCAATTGATTCTAAAATAAAAACATCCGAAACACCAATGTGAATAAAAAAAATAAAAACAAAAATCTAAAAGCACTAATCAAAGGGGATGAGAAGAAATAAGGGAATGAATTGAAAAGGATGATACCCTTAGCTTATTTAATTTGAGGATGAGTTTTTCAATTAAGGAGGTATTTGAAATCCATAGTAGTGTTCTAAAAACCTATCAACCAAACGATACCAATTACTTCAATCACTTTGATATCCATTCCTTAGAGCTAAACTTGTCAACCAAACACACCCTTAGTTTTATCATTTAATATTTTCTCTCCACTTTAGCAAAATAAAGGTACTCCGTATTATTCTTTAAATCAATAAAAAAAATCAAGAATGTTGTTATGTTTTACCGGCAATCAATAAATCAATTCGAATGTATAATTAATATAATCTATAAACTATTTTAAATGGCATTAAAAAAAAAAGTGATGTTATCCAAGTGAAGACTCAGAGAATTTCATGTATCATTATTAATAAAGTATGCAATTATATATCCCAATTAGGCATGCGTGAGATCAGAGATGACTCTTTTATTGCATGCATGATGCGTGTGATTATTTGGTACCACATATTCTTTATGCGTAATTCTACTTTTAATACTAATAATGGTGACAACATTTCTTCATATCTCACTCGATAGTAAAATAAATCATTTTTTTTAATACATGAACAAACAGACATGAATTTATATTGTCCAAATTCATTAACACGAAAAATAAGATAATATATCAAAAATTTACAACATATTTGGTCCACGAAATGAATATTACACAAATACTAATATTATTAAGTAAGGATTTTTAAAAAATAATAATAAAGAATAATCATACTTGTAAGAGACTATATCACGGATCGTTATCTGTGAGACGAGTTGGGTCGATCGAGTCCGGTCAACATGTGAGTGTAATACTTATACTAGTAAATGTAATACTAAATTAGAAATAAAATGTTCGTTACTTATAAAGAAAAACATAATACTTTTGAAGACAAATGTAATACTTTTATATTTCGATGTAAGAGTATTACTTTCTTCATCAAAAGCATTATATTTTTTCTTATACGTAATGTTACACTTATAAAGACAAATGTAATATTTTTGATGAAAAATGTAATACTTTTACATCAAACTGTTAAAGTATTATAATTTTCAATGTAAGTAATAAACATTTTATTCTTAATTTAGTTCTATATTTGCTAATATAAATATCATATTTATCTTGATTTGACTTATCTTATAAATAAGAATTCGTAAGACGATCTCACAGAATATTTTGCCAATAAAAAAAAAAGAGCCTACCAAAGCATGTTGCATTTCTTGGTCAAATGTGACTTTTAAGGGTCCAGACAAATTAGAATGGTACTAATATGTATATAATTATGAAAAATGTGAAAATTTGACTTCAATATAAATAAACAAAAAAATATGGTTTGATGGAGATACGCCTCCTAATCAAGCCAATAGATTTGGACTAATATTCTGCTAATTAACAACATGAATCATTCATTCCTTCTTACAACCGCCCAACAACTTTAAATATAAGCAAAAAACATCCTTGTTCCTATCAACAAATTGACCCAATATAATATATAATATATACATGTTTCATGTTTGGTCTGGGGTAAAATAAGGTTGGCGTAGTAATTTTCCATAAGAGTATATTGAGATGAGATTAAAAAATAAAAATAAAAAATCCTAGTGTTGACAAGATTATGGGGAATAAATTCAAAGGACTACAAATATAGAAATTTTAAGAAGTATATCAAATGTTAATGTTAATGGGCGTATGTTATTATTAGTCTATTCAAGACAGTATTTTATTAATGAATATGAATTATTTCGTATACAGCATTAAATAGAAGTTTTAACTGTTTTTTTTCATGTCATTAAACTAAGTTTTTTTTTTTATTGAGTAAATTAATATTAACATGTCACTTTATTAATTTAAAATCTAATAGTTTAAACTAGTTGATAAATGAACGACTAATGCGATATAAGATTGGAGACAAAAGAAGCACTATGTTTATTAAAAAAAAAAAACACACACACACACAAAGTTTAGAGTAAATTTATTATATATATAACATTATAAAATTCTTTTAGAAATGAAATAAGAGCACCTCCCCAATAAGTTATTCATTACGTGTCTAAGTCAAACAGGAAGTCACAATGTCATGTTTCGAATTGAGTATGGCTTAAGCTCATACAGTAAAGGCCTAACACTCTTTACAATTCTCAATTTTATTTTATATATTTTTTTAAATTTTTCTTTCATAAATAATTATTGACTTTATTACAAGATAACCAAGTCGATACCCCTCTATTAATGTTTGATCCTTGACATTTTCAGGAGAACTATAGGGGTGCCACGGTTAATTATGCCAAATAAAGTGGTAATAAATTTACCGTCCAAAAAAAAAGGAAGTAATAATCCATTTGCACGTGAATTAAGAAGAAAGAAATATTAATGGCTGCTGGCTGCTGGTTGATACCAAGCAACGACACTGCACACTTTCTTCTTCCTGAATTTCTGGTATGTGATCTTGAAAACCAAACTACTCTTCAGCCGCCGAACCAATCGACGGTTAAACCAATACCCTTCAATGCAATATGCAATGCTCCTTCCTCCTTATATTGCCCTTTCTTCCACATGAAATTCATTCGGTGGAGGTAGAGTCGTCGGAAATTCAATTCCCAGCAGGATAATGACCCAGTTTCAATCAATCCTCGCCGCCGGAGAAGAGGGAGGTCGCACCGTGGTGGTGGGTGTTAAGCTGGATGGTCAGAGCAGGGAGCTCCTGACTTGGGCACTCGTCAAAGTTGCGCAAACTGGTGACCGCGTCGTTGCTCTTCACGTTCTCAACAACAACGGTACAACTCCGGATCCTCATAAGCATGTATTTATTTAGTTCAATTCCATCCACGAATTGGAGGATCTTCATTGAAATGAGTTGTTCGTGTTTTGACCGAATAGGGAAAATCTTAATCGATCTTCATTGCTTCCTACAAGAAAAAACGTAAACTTTAAAAAGAAATGCAGCAAATGAAGCGATTTCTGTTTTCCCTTTAACTATGATTTTTTTTTGTTGTTTCAATTGGTTTTGTAAAATGGTGTTACATACACAGAAATTGTGGACCGGGAGGGCAAATCATCTCTGTTATCGTTGGTGAAAGCATTTGACTCTATTCTTGCAGTTTATGAAGGCTTTTGTAACCTCAAACAGGTTGGTTTATTTCTTTAAATTTGAAGTATTAATGTTGTCAAATAATTGTCGGTGGATCTGTTTAAGCCGTTGGAATTTATCTAGCCTTATTAGTAGCATTTATTTACTTTGCTTTCCAAGAATTAGAAACAAAAGTTACCTTATTCACTCTTATTGTTCTTCATTTACATACTTTCTTTGGTGGTAAATGAGGCAAGGAATTGAAGTTTTTCTGCTAATTTATGTGAATACAGGTGGATCTCAAGCTTAAGATATGCAGAGGTTCATCAATCCGGAAAATTCTTGTCCGTGAAGCAAATGCTTACCTAGCAAACGACCTTATTGTTGGGACAGCACGGAATCATCATACAATCCGATCATCAGCTTCTGTTGCAAAGTACTGTGCTAAGAAATTGCCAAGTGATTGCTCAGTCTTGGCTGTTAATAATGGCAAAGTGGTCTTCCATCGAGAGGCATCAAGACCATCTCTGGTCACTACGAAAGGTCTGTCCTTTTAGATGTTAATTTTGTTTGAGATTATGCTTGAATTCTTTCTGGAAGGAACCTTAATCCTTTTCACATATGAATGTATATATGCATGTAGAAATTGAACTTCATCAAAGGAATGGTTTGCTTAGTGCAATCCAGAGGACATTAAGCAAGAACTCAAAGGTATTAAATGGCAACGGTGGTACTAATGATCAAAGTGCTCATGAGACCTTGGGGGAGGCATTATTGAAATCTGGTAATGTTTGTGCTGAGAATGCTGCACTCAAACAGAATTGTTCAATTTGTTCACCGGATTATTTGCCTGATAGTTCTTGTACCCAATCATCCACTGATGAGCCTTCAAGAGATAGCAATGACGAAAGCTCTATGGCTTTAGTACCAGTGGAGAAGCTAGAGCCTGCTTCTACTTCAATCTCACAGTTGATAAAAGAACTGCCTGAAGTTCGACCGGGTTGGCCACTGCTTCGCCGTGCTGTTTTCTCAAACAGACAAGCCACAGATGGCTCCTCTGTGCAGCAGATCTCTGTTGTCCAGTGGGCACTCCGTTTGCCAAGTAGACATCCTTTGTCCGTTGAAGACCTGGACAAGAAATTAGTAGGAGTCTCCTTCGGTGATGACAAAAATAATGCTTTCAAACTAGATGGAGAAAGCGGTGCCATTGTCCCTTTTAGCAATGAGAACATTTCTCATCCATCCTCTCCAGAGAAGTCAGGCTCAGTATCTGAAGAGTTAGTGTGTCTTCACGAGAAATATGCAGCAACTTGTAGATTCTTCAAGTACGAGGAACTTGTGTCAGCAACTCTGGATTTCTCTTCAGGTTTAGTATTATTTTACATCTTTAGACTTAATGCACGGTGGTTTGGTTTTATTTAAGTGGATATACATACGTACTTGTTGTTGTTGGAATTTCAGATAATGTCATAGGTAAAGGAGGGAGCAGTAAGGTTTATAAAGGTTGCCTTCCTGATGGCAAAGAGCTTGCTGTAAAGATTTTAAAACCAACTGAAGATTCACTGAGAGAGTTTGTTTTAGAAATTGAGATCATTACTGCTTTACATCACAAAAACATCATCTCACTCTTCGGCTTCTGTTTTGAGGGCAACCATCTCCTCCTGGTTTATGATTTCCTATCAAGAGGAAGCCTTGAAGAGAACCTTCATGGTATGTTAAAATGATTGTTTATTGGATAAGATACTTTCTCCTGGAGTGGTCTGCTTAGCTTGATTATTAATTTGATCCTTCTGAAGAACGAACCAGAATTATCATTTTCTAATTTTAACATGAAAATTCACAACTCAGGTACTAAGAAGGATCCACAAGAATTTAGATGGAGTGAGAGATACAAGGTAGCTGTTGGTGTTGCTGAAGCACTGGACTATCTTCACAGCCGAGATGATCAACCTGTGATTCACCGTGATGTGAAATCATCAAATATACTGCTATCTGATGATTTTGAGCCACAGGTGAGAAACTTGTGTTGGGCTTGCTTTTTCTTGTTACTCTCCTGTCTCCCTTCTGTTTTCTTTCCCCGGTTGTTATATATGTAGTTTTTTTTTTTTTCCCAGCTTTCTGACTTTGGACTTGCTAAATGGGCATCAACGACCTCCTCTCACATAACATGCACTGATGTTGCTGGGACTTTTGGGTATGTCTTCAAATATCCTCTTCAAGCTTTCAGCAAAGCAAAGCAAAGACTAAAAGTAGTTTGTCAAAAATTGAATGTTTCAATGTACGAAACATATGTTAAAATGGAAAATATGCTGCATATATGACCTGATTGCTAATATAAAAGAACCGTCTTCTAGACTTTTTGCTCTAAGTGAGGAAAAAAAAAAAAAGAGGATCGGAATTCATTACAGCATATTATATTCTTGCTCCTAATTATGGTTACTTTCTTTAATGTTGGTGTAGTTACTTGGCTCCAGAGTATTTCATGTATGGAAAAGTGAATGACAAGATTGATGTGTATGCATTTGGAGTAGTACTTCTTGAACTTCTTTCCGGAAGAAAACCTATAAACAGTAACTACCCAAAAGGTCAGGAGAGCCTGGTTATGTGGGTATGTTCACTACTACTGTCTCTTGCTCTGGAAACTATTTAAAGTTTCAACTTCATTCTTTAGTCCTACTCGTTAACCTGGAACATGCACTTTAATTTCATAATTTACAGGCAAAACCAATTCTGAACAGTGGGAAGTATGGGCAGTTGCTAGACCCAAGCTTGGGCAGTAATTATGATCGTGAACAGGTAGAGAAGATGGTTCTTGCTGCTTCTCTGTGTGTTAGACGTGCTCCCCGAGCTCGGCCTCAAATGAGCCTTGTAAGTTATTTCCTAACTACTTTGTTTATATTGTTGATGTTGATTAGATTGAGATGATATGAATTCACAGCATTTATTTTCTGGTAGTGAGTTTATTACCGCAAGTTATATTAAATGCTAGTAAGGTGACATTATCTTTTCTAGGCTTATTTACTCTTACAACATGTTATTAATCAGTTGCCTCCTTTTTCTGGAATAACATTTTTGGAAGAAAATATAATGAAAAGCTAAGAGAAATTCAATACTTCATTTGTTGGAGAGAGTAAGTTAGTAGTTTGGGTTGCAGATTGTGAAGCTGCTCCAAGGCGAGGTTGAAACAATGAAATGGGCGAGGTTGCAGGTGAATGGGTCAGAGGCAAAGCTACGAAATAGTATGGAAGGTGGCGAGACATTGGATGATGACACATATTCGCAGCATTCTAATATACAATCCCACCTCAACCTTGCATTGCTAGGGGTAGAAGAGGATTCAGTGTCGGTCAGCAGCATCGAGCAACATATCTCACTGGAGGACTATTTGCGAGGCAGGTGGAGCCGGTCATCAAGCCTCGACTGACTCACTCAATAATCTCAATTTAAGTTTTAGATCCCGTGATTTTTGTGTACATTTCATTTCTTGTTTTCTTTTACCTAGCTAATTTCCAGCTTCATTTTGGTTAATGCTGGGTCTTGGATGAGAGGTTGTTAGTGGTGTGCCCTCCTCCTTCCCTTCCCTTCCCTTCCACGTGTTGTGTATGATTTGTCAAGTATAGGTTCAGTTCAATTGTCATCATAATTGGAACCAAGAACTGAACCCCACCTTCAAGTGTATAAAAACACAATTAATTTTACTTTATTTTTGGTTTTAGTAAATCTATTTCTTTGATTTTTTTTTCCCTTTATGAATGATATGTATCTTGCTATATCCGTATCTATGATGAGTTCCAATTTTGGTCTGTTACATTAAGTAATAAGCTACTGGTTTTATAAACTTAAGCTTTCATTTAATTTTGTTTAAAGATCTGCTGCTAACTTAGCTGTCTACTTGATAATAGGGAAGAGTTCAGGTGCGGGTGATGTTTCCCGTGCAGTTGTGCGGTTGGATGCATCTTAAACATTAACATGACGCACCTTAAGTATGCAAATCACTACACACATTAAGCACACAAACAAAGCACTTTAAGAACACAAATCACTCACATTAAGTACATAAACCACGCACCTTAAGCACTGAACAAAGCACATTAAGTACAAAAATCGCACAAACTCACGCACATTAAGTCCAAACCCAAACACCTTAAATTTACCTAGATGCAAAAATTATCAAAATGCCACTACGTTTTTTAATTTAATTTTGGTAATCTAAATGTTGATTTAAGCAAAATCAATGATTCTCCTTTCACCGCACTTGACACCCTCAACCGCATAGGAACCCCTTTATATATATATATATATATATATATATATATATATATATATATATAAAGGGGTTCCTATGCGGTTGAGGGTGTCAAGTGCGGTGAAAGGAGAATCATTGATTTTGCTTAAATCAACATTTAGATTACCAAAATTAAATTAAAAAACGTAGTGGCATTTTAGATTACCAAAATGTCTTATTATTATAGTGACATTTTGCTTAAATCAACATTTAGATTACCAAAATTATATATATGGGTATCGACTTTTTCACTACATCCAATTCATAATTAGTACTATAATTACTATTTACTAGCTACATCCAAGAAAAAAAAAATACATAATGTCTTATTATTATATTGGTATTTTTGTATAGTAAATTTCAATTTTGGTCCTGTGACTATAGATGTCCTGTTAATTGCAGTCCACGACTTTAAAAAGTGTTAATTTAATACCTTGACTATGTAAATTTTATCAATTTTGGTCATTCCGACCAAATTGCGCCGTAAAAACTTAATTCATCAATTAGGGTTTAATCTGAGGGGCAAATTCTTCGTTTGAATTGTGGTCTAAATTAAGCAAAGTCAATCTTTAACCCAATTTTTCGGTGAAATTTGACCGGCAATTTAACCGGAGTGACCAAAATTGATAAAAATTACATAGTCAAGGTACTAAATTAACACTTTTAAAAGCAGTGGACTGCAATTAACAAAACCCTATAGTCACATAACCAAAATTGAAATTTACTCTATTTTTTATTTAATTTGTCATATATATAGGGTTCTAAAGTCACATTAGCTATGCAATTGTGTGTACAAAAATTGTGTGCATGTGGACTTATTTACACCTCAAATCATTTTTTTTTTTTTGTGACGAACGAAACTCGCAACCATTACTCAATGTATATTAGGTAAACTAGCTTAGGTGTCGCGTGACTTTAGTTGACAATCATTTTTATTGTTTTTTTGTGTATCTTGTGTGACCTTAGTTGACAAATTACCACAATAAGATAAACTAGTTTAGGCGGTTTATAACTGACTGACTCAAATTAATATGTCTCTCATAGTGAGAGTCAAACTTTGAATTTTATAGTTACTAAACCAACAATTTAACCAACTTAGCTAAGATTGTCATTGTATCTCAAATTATATTGTTATGTATTCATAGAATTAGTTTTTTTTTTTTTTTTTTTTTTTTTTTTTTTTTTTTTTAAGTATAGTCAATAATCAAATAAACAACACAACTACAAAACAGCAGTCACCAGGCAAGCAAGAGATCTAAGAATTAAACAGTAGGATTGAACAAGAAACACTAAAGAATACCGTTTCAATTAAACAAGAAACACTAATAAAGTAATTACTGTTTCTTGGTAAAATTTTCTAACATGTGAAAATTCATAAGTTCAAACATTAGCAAGATCAGAATTACAATCACCTCAAGGAATTATATTTTTGCCTGAAATGTTAGATCTAAATAGTCTAACTATAATGAATAACAGTATAAGAGTGGAAGCGTAGCCATGTAGATCTCCAGACATAGTTGATGTTCATGTTGTGTTGCCTCTTAACGGTAAACCGTTAGCCATATTTTTCCTCAGACCTGACTCAGAACCCTAGATGGTGTATTGGTGTCACCGTAACTGAATGTGCTAACATCCATCATCCTGTATCCCATCAATCTAGGATTATATTAGGCACAGAGTTTGATTGACTAACAACTTCTAGTTATTCAGTTCAACCAGACCACTTAACAAAGCTAGTCAACTTACACCACTTAATTAAGGCTCTAATATATAATATATAATATATAATATATAATATATAATATATATTATTAGGGAAAATCTTACATTCTCCCACTTGGCGCAAGTATTAGCACAACCATCATCAAAGAACAAAACACACGAATAAGTAAGTAGTTAAGGGACGGAGGGATGAGGGAAGTCGGTGGGCTGAATTAAAATAAGAATTAAGAAGCGAGGCAGAGAGGCATATATAAGAAAACTTTATAGGAATTAAGAAGTAACTAACATATACATATATATAGGCAAACTTTAAAAAAATATTCGTGCATTGCACGCGTACTGCACGGATAATTGGACAATTATTTGCTCGAATTCAAGTAAGAACAGTGGCGAACTTATCATGGGGGCAGTAGGGGCAGCTCCAAAACCATCAACCTCAACTTTTACAAGCTTTAATTTATACGTTTTTCCATTTAAGAATCTTCAATTAAAAATCTCATTTTCTAATTAAAAAATATATCATTACATCTTATTTGGTAATATGAATTTTTATAGTTGGATTAGTGTTTTTAAGTGAGTTGTAGTAACTAATTAAGCTGACTCATAAGTTTTACTTGTTCAATCAAACAAACTCTCTAATATTAAACCATATATGGATGCATTATGAGTGGTTTGTTACAATATTATCAGGATGCTTTCCATATAAATTATTAAGCGTGTTTCAGTTGTATTGCCCCTTTTTCATTTGAGCAATTAATGCACCAAAAACAAGACAGAAATAACTAAGCTGTTAATATTTCTTCATAAATAAGAATATTTCTTCATGAATAAGTAAGTGGTTAAGGGACGGAGGGATGAGGGAAGTCGGTGGGCTGAATTAAAATAAGAATTAAGAAGCGAGACAGAGAGGCATATATAAGAAAATTTTATAGGAATTAAGAAGCAAGTAACATATACATATATATAGGCAAACTTTAAAAAAATATATATATATATTCGTGCATCGCACGAGCATTGCACGCGCACTGCACGGATAATTGGGCAATTATTTGTTCGAATTCAAGCAAGGACAGTGGCGGACCTGCTTATTGAAGAAAAATGCATGATTAACATAATTGGTTACCTTGCTTACATGGCACTAAATTAATTTTTTTTTAAGTACTCATGATTTGATCAACCATTTGGAATGGTAACCGGGATGCCACCACACTATATGGTAGTTAGCTAAATTAGAAATTATCATTAGTACTCATCAAATGATAGAAAAGTTCAAAATTTTATTAGCTCCAAAACGAATGCGAGTGAATAGCATAATTCTTGTATTTAAAGGTAACGAGTTTAATAAATACACACTCAATAAATAGTGATGTCATGTTTCTCTCTATCAACCCTAAAAGGCTAAAAATTCAAAATTGTTACTTCAACCCTACAGTTACTGTGCGTTAAGTTAATGAAAATTGAAATAATGATTTAAAACTGTGGGGTGGGTATGTGAGTGGAAAATTATATTTGACAAGAGAGCCGGGAGAGAGAAATGGGTAGGTACGGGTAGAAATTCTTCTCAATTTTTAACCTTAAAAGAACCCAACACCATCCTTTGGTCTGACTCTGATACCAAATTGAAGCATATGCTGCTGATAGTTGGATACACATTAATGGTTATATGCTCACACGCCCCCTCACGTGTGCGATGGGTTCCAAGCAACACGTGGACCGGTAAACCGTAGTCGGTTCCAAGCAACACGTGGACCGGTAAACCGTAGTCGCTTACGGGTGGCGCTGAGATTCGAACCCATGACCTTTGGTCTGGCTGACTCTGATACCAAATTAAAGCATGTGCTCCATCTCAACTAAAAGCCTAAACTAGTAGTTAGATTGCACGTTAAGCAACACGTGGACCGGTAAACCGTAGTCGGTTCCAACAACACGTGGACCGGTAAACCGTAGTCGCTTACGGGTGGCGCTGAGATTCGAACCCATGACCTTTGGTCTGGCTGGCTCTGATACCAAATTAAAGCATGTGCTCCATCTCAACTAAAAGCCTAAACTAGTAGTTAGATTGCACGTTAAGCAACACGTGGACCGGTAAACCGTAGTCGCTTACGGGTGGCGCTGAGATTCGAACCCATGACCTTTGGTCTGGCTGGCTTTGATACCAAATTAAAGCATGTGCTCCATCTCAACTAAAAGCCTAAACTAGTAGTTAGATTGCACGAAATTAAAGCATGTGCTCCATCTCAACTAAAAGCCTAAACTAGTAGTTAGATTGCACGTTAATGGCTATATGCTCACACGCCCCTCACGTGTGCGATGGGTTCCAAGCAACACGTGGACCGGTAAACTGTAGTCGCTTACGAGTGGCGTTGAGATTCGAACCCGTGATCTTTGGTCTAGCTCTGATACCAAATTGAAGCATGTGTTCCATCTCAACTAAAAGCCTAAGCTAGTAGTTAGATTGCACGTTAATGGCTATATGCTCACAACCCTCAACTTTTACAAGCTTTAATTTATACGTTTTTCCATTTAAGAAAACTCACTTTGGGTATGGCTAGAAATTAAATTCTTCTCAATTTTTAACCTTAAAAGAACCCAACACCATCAACCTCAACTTTTACAAGCTAGCTTTATACGTTTTTCCATTTAAGAAAACTCACTTTGGGTATGTTTGATTTATGAGTTTACGCATTATGAATGGAAATTAAAATCAT